AATTAGATCCCATGCCGTAAACCATATCATCGTTTGTCACAAACAATACATTATATTCATTATCGTCTTCGAAAACGTGAAATATTTTAATACAATTAATGTCTACTTTATTATCGATAGATTTATATTTGGGATCAATCGCTGAACGATTGTCACCAATGAATGCGTTCACTCTATCGCTGTCTTTGTCTGTGATGTCAGTCATCGCCATCTGATGTCTCGCTTCCGGTGTCAGTCTCTCTGTCGATATGTTTCCTTCGTCTCCGACACTTACTCTCCTATCCTTTCCCTCATTTCGGGCCATATTTTCAAACAAAGCACTCAATCGATTGACGCTTCCTTTAGTAATCACACATTTTATTCATAATTATATAAATAATATACTAATATAATAATTGTATGATCAAATGTACACTATATAAGGTAGTGTATTTTAAATCAGATTTATCTATATATTACACTGAAAAGTGTATAAAAGTGTATAGTAGTTAATGTACAGTATTATTTAAAATATACTTTAAATGCCTCAGATTAATTATTTCTAATTAAACTTTACAATTATTGTATATATCGTAATAATGTTATTCTCTTTATGTTTTAGGACTATATTTCTATTTACCAATAATTTATAAAATAATTCAGGCAAGCCTGTAAATATAATATTAAAATTTTGTAGTGATTACTTTAAGTTTTAGTAAATTAAATCCAATTGAAATAATATAATGAACACTATATTACACGTTATTTGTTAATAATAATCATAATAAATTCTATACATTATTAGCAAAATGATTTGCATTAGAAATGGACCATATACACTGTATTACTGTAGATACTCTAATGATTCAATAAATTAAATTGATGCAAACTATAATAACGTATCATCAATAATGACGTTAACGTAACCTCATTAATCAAATCGAACCTCATAAATCAGAAAAGTATTATTGTTAAAATGATCATGTTTGTTTAAGTACCTGTTGAGTTGCGCTGTGATGGTTGTCTAGTATTTGATTGGTTGGCAGCCATTTGTATAATTTTACTTATGTTTTAAATATGTTGTTTTAATTGTAGATTTTAAAATTTTTATTTGTTAATTATTTTAAATAGTTATCCTAGTTTGACATTCATAAATAAAACACTATGTTGAAAAATATTAATTATAATAATGAATTCAATTATCAAATATTTTGAATAGAATAGTTAAAAATTATTGACTTTAATTACTATAATTAATTATTTTTTATTGTTAATTTGACTTTTTGAATATTGCACTAAATAATAAAATATACTGATAATTGTTTTTGTAAAATAACAGTTAAATTCAATGATTTTCATATCAATTATAATAATCATTAAAAAGCATTGGAAACACTGATTAGATAAAAAAGTATTTCATACGATATATGACAATAACATGTTTTTGCAAATATTTATTTGCTTAACAAGCGTTAAAATAATGAAGAATAATTCACATCAATATTATAGATAACATTATATGCATTATTAATGCAATCAAATAAAAATCTGTTTATAAATCTAGTTATAACTTATACAGTATTTTTGTCAAAATATATGTTACGATTTTGTGGAATAATAATCAGGGCTATTTTAATAATTTACTATATTACCTTTTAAGAATTGATTTATGATTATGAATAGAAAATAATATTAATTAATAATTATGTTTGGCAATGATTAAAATGGTAATTTCAGTCACCTTATATATCCGAATATTATATATTCAACTGTTTTATCTAGTTCGTTTTAAGCTTTTTGTGTAATGCGTAAATAACAAACACTTAAAGTGTTTAAAGTTCGTTTAAAACTTGATATAAGTAAAGGTTTTTTTTAAATGTATATCATATGAAACTTTATTATTGAGTTAACCACACATTTATTGAGTGTTAATTGTAAGTAATTTATGAGACAATAAAACTATAGTTATTATCATTTTATTTTCAGTTAAATCTGTGTTTCCATTGCTTTAACTGATTATTACAAGTCTTAACCAAAGGTTTACATTTATTAACGATACAATTATTTATATCTATTATAAAATATTTCTTCATTAAAAATAATATAAGAAATGAATTCAAATGTTATTAACAACTCGATTAGTTTTATATTTATTTAATAAGTGTTTAGTGAAAGATCTCTTTATGCACACAATTATAAGTATAATTAATTTAAAATGTTGTAATATTGTACAATAAGTATCATTGCAATTGTTGAATGATAATATTTTTTATTTAAAGTTTAAAATTTTCTAAAAAGTTTATAATTATTACCACACCTTATATTAAAATTAAAACCACTGATAATAATAATATTAAAATTGCTGCCAATCAATCAACACGTAATAAATGAGAGGTAATAAATGTTTAGTAATAGATCACATTATTCATACAATTAATTATATAATTAATTATTAAAAAGTAATATATTTTGCAATTTATAAAATTAGAGGAAATGTATAATGATAATATTTTTAAAAGTTTTAAAAGTCTATAATTATTACGACACCTTAAATTAAAATTGATAACAATATTATCGCCAAAATGGCTGCCAATCAATCAACAGGTAATGAATGATAATATGTTTGAACTTATATTTTAATATTTATCTTGTTTTTAAATAATTATTCAGTTTCTAACCAGAAATCAAACTTTTTTGACGATAATTTCCAAAAGTTGTCACATATAGGGAGGGGTGGGTTCGGAGAGGTATATCACGTGAGGCACATGATTGAAGGGGAAGAATACGCGGTGAAAATTGTAAAGTTCCTTGGTAATTTTAAATTTAATATAATTATCATTTAAATAAGATGTGTTTAATAAATACTAATAAGACGTTTGTTTTGCAGACATTTATAGCGATCACAAAAGACAGGAAATATTAAAAGAGGTCCAAAATTTAGTTAAATTGCGTTCAGATTTTGTGGTGAATTACCGCAACTCATGGCGTGAAGACAATCATCTGTTCATTCAAATGGATTATTATCCACAAAATCTACAGACGATTATCGATAATAAGCACATTGTGTTTGAAAGACAAACCGGAGAAGCGATGAAAATATTTGAATATTTTATTTCGTGTGAAATATTCAAAGAACTGTTAGAAAGTGTAAAGTATTTACACGATTTGTGTCCACCGGTTATCCATCGGGACCTCAAACCGTCAAATGTTTTGATTTCACAAAATAATAATAACACTCGGTTTATACGGTTGTGTGACTTAGGATTGGCCACCAGTCATGACATGACATCCATGAGCCACACCTCTAATGTCGGAACCGCACAATATATGGCACCCGAAATATTTCAACCCCGATATTACTCAAAAGTAGACATCTATAGTCTGGCTGTGATTGGCTTCCATTTATTTGATTTATTCAATATGTATAACATTTGTATAATTGTAAAAATTGTAATATTTAAATTTAATTCTCATTATATTGTTTGTATTTAGTGAAAATCCAACGGAAATGTATAATTCAACTGTATTTTCAGTAAAGTTCAACAAACTGTTTGCAATAATTGGGCAAATGTTTCAATCAATGGCAGACAATCGGCCAACAAGTGGTCGAGTATTAGACGACTATAACCAGTGGTCAGTCGATAAACATTTAGTAGAAAATAATAATCAAAGCATCGATGAAATACAAAATATACTAAAATCCAACGAAAACACGTTTTTCTACGAGTTTTTTATTAGTAAATTAAATTATACCAATGTTTCCAATGTTAATAACTTTACTAATAAAACAAGTGTAAAACCGAGTGTCGGAGAGGAAGAAAATTCACCTCTGGAACAACAGAACCTGAGAGACAAACAACTTGTTGAAAAGACTAAAATTGCATGTGTGTACATTTTTTATATGTATTAAACAAATTATTCATATAATGAAAAATAATTGATTTTTAGTCGATTTGCCGCCGATATTGTTTCACTCAATTCATGGGGAAAACCTGTGGCTGTCGGCCAACTCGGCCATCGCTCGACGGAACGATAGCTATTGTAAAAGTATTTGTTTTAGTAATCGCGTCATTAGAGTCAACGAAAAAATACGTATCAAATTCATAGAAATTACTGCTGAATGGAGTGGTAGCATTCGGTTCGGTTTCACTTCCCATGATCCCATCATAAATTGTCCATCATCTCTACCTAACCACGTCTGTCCTGACCTTACAAAGAAACCGGGCAATTGGGCTAAAGCGTTAGACGACAAGTTTGCGCTCAAAAATAACGTACTTTTCTATTACGTGACTGAGACGGGAGACGTTCGCTATGGGGTTAACGGTAAAAATGAGGGTATTTTCTTTAAGGGAGTCTCAACTGATTGTCTACTTTGGGCGCTGATCGATGTCTACGGCAAGAATGTTGGCATCGAATTAGTTAATGAGTCACACAATTCGCCAATTGATATCAAAATGGATAATGAATGGAATTTTACTCCAAAACCTAAGATACAAGAAGAACAGAAATGTATAATAAATTAAAATTAAATAAAATGTATACAGTAGAAACTTAAGTGATTTTTGTTATATATTTTTATTTATTTTATGTTTTTACACAATTTAATATAAAACTTATTTTTAGCATAAATAATCAAGAATGTTAAAATTATAATAAAACTGTGTTTATTTGGGTACAAAACTGTCAATATCAATGATGATTTAGAATTGTCTAATATTTTGTAAATTACCTGACTAAAATAAATTGATAGGTTGTACACAAGATCTTGCGTATTTGACGCTTTTAAATGTTTTTAACATAATCAGATTATATCTTATAGACTAAAAAGAGATATAGCGCAAACCCCATGCTAAAAATTAATTAAACGTTCCTTTATAATATCATATATCATGTTGAATGCGGTGCCGAAAGGTGAACGTTGTGGCCAATTGTTGCTATAAACAATTTTATTTTAAGCAGAATTTTAGTTAATAATAGGTGGTTTAAAATAAACTGTAAAAAAATTATAAAATTAATATTAATTTTCTATAATCAATGAATATAAATCGTTGTTCACTTCTTTGTCATTTTTAATACCTATGTTATAGGATTAACATGCAATCCCATGTTAAATCCTATAGGTTGGGGGCTAGTGGGAGGGGCAGCCGAAAGATCTTATAAACCACATTATTAAATGTTAAATTGTTGTTCATTGTCCCTTTCCACACTATTGAATTTTCCTCTATTTTCCCTCCCGGGAACATGGGAATCAATGGAATTTTTAAATTATGACGAACATTTATTATTAATAATCGTATCTATTTTAATAATTTATTATAATAACTAAGAATTTATGATTATGAATGGAAAATAAAATAAATTAAGTTTGATAATGATAAAAATTATAATTTATGTCACCCTATCTATCCTTATAAAATATATTCAAATGTTTTATCTAGCTCGTTAGCAGCTTTTTATGAAATACGTAAAACCAAACACTTAAAGTGTATAAAGTCCGCTTAAAAGCTATAAAAATATTATTGTTTAACTAGGTTATTACATTGTCACTTGCTGCATAATGATATATTCAAAAATATTATCTAGATCTTAGTCTGTCAATGCGTGCATATCTGTGCATTTGCCCGCATTATAGGGCAACATACCTTATAATCAATTTATTAGTTTTATAATGCATTCAAATATGTCGTTATGAAAAAGAGTGTGGTGGGTTGCATTAATTCAATAATAAATTGGTAATATTTTGTAAACAAAATGTAATGGCATTTGTGATTAATGTTTAAAAATATACCATATTACAACAAAAATAATGTCTGGTCAAAAACTTTTTTTGAAAGCTTTTTTTAGAAGCTGCCATTTACTGATCTAGATCTTTTGTGAAATACGTTAAAAACAAACACATCTGTTCAACAAATGTTAAAATATTAATTATCAAATCAACTTTTTGCAATCAAATACTATAAGTATAGCGTAAAGAACGAAAATATTATTGTCTAACATTTAAATCAGCATACATTAATGTATAATTATTCATATAATTTATTGAGTTATCAATTTCATTATGCTTAAGCCAATCATTTGTACTATACAATAGTTTAGCTTTAAAACTGATCTAGTATAAATAGAGCATATTTTATGCTAATATTATTCACAACTTTGACAATAACCACATATTGAAAAATATCAAATTCAAAACAGTATATATTGCTTTATAATGCATTATAAAAGTATGTATTAATTATATAAACAATATTTATAATTTTATTATTACCATTATTTTATAGTATGTTTATTGGCGTTGAGTGCGTTAATTGGCCACGTTGTTGGCGAATGTCGTGGTTATAAAATAAAATCACCATGTACGTTCAGCGATGGACCTGGATATTGCGATATTCATTGCACGGGTGGCGACAAAATTGATCTAAAGGCCATATTCAATGACCTGAGCAGTAGACTACCCGCCGATAGAAAGCCATTTCGGGAACTGGTGTTAGAAAGTAAGGCAATAGAGGAACTGCCGGCCAACGCGTTCTCAGGCATACAATTCACGTCGATAAACATCAGTAACGGTGATCACATCAAACGGGTAAACGTCGGCGCGTTTGACGGCACGGCCTCTACTATTACCAAACTTAGCCTACATTACGCTCCGGTCACCGAATTAGCCACCGATGAGTCAGACCTTTTCGGCGCCATCGATACGTTGAAAGCGTTGGAAACGTTTCAAATGTTGAGAACAGGCGTACAATCGTTTCCATCGTTAGCCCTATCGGGTCATAGAAAGTTGACACACATTTATGTGTATCAAAATCCATTGAAATCGATATCTGCCAACGCGTTCACCGATTTGCCCGCTTTGCGAGTATTACTATTTGATGGGAACACTGGTATTGAACGGGTGGCCGATCACGCCTTTACCGTCGGCCCCAACAGCTCTGACCACAGTTTGGATTTACTATTTGACGCCCAACTGAACAATCCGTTCGCCGACCGAGCGTTTGAGTCGATTGGATGCGCGACTTCTATAAGGTTTGGACTAAAATCATTGAAATACTTGACTAGCGATGAATTCAATGCGTTTTTCAGTGAAAACCCAATGAATACAGTGATTGACTTAAGCATCGATTGCGCCGATAGTCTTAATCAATGGATTCGTGAGAAGTATCCAAAGGTTTGGCACGACTTGAATTGCAAGTAATATTCAAATACACTTGACTACAGAACACACAATATTTGTTAATAATAATACAGTATTATTCAATGATTAACATTTTACTATATAAATAATGCTGTATATTATAACATATCTTATTGTATTTTAAATTTTCATAATTATGAATAAAATAAAATTAGTTTTGATTACATTTTGTTATTATTGTTGAATAAAAAGCACATAAATTAGTATAAGAGAGATATTGGGGTTAATATTTCTGGAATTTATACATAAAATAATAACAAATGAATTGTCTTTAAAATTTATATTATATTTTGTCGTGGTTTGATACCCCTCCTACTGTCGTCCCCCACTTCGCATACGTGACAAGTGCTCATACCTGTCACCTTGGTGAGATCATGGTCGACTCACCAATACATACATACACCTCATCATCACCT